TCGTGCAAAGCAGAGAAATCCAGAGTGTATTTCGTCTTGCCGACAAAGTACACCACAAGGATCTGATGGAACTGCTCAGCAACCTTGATATATTCGGGAAAGATATCAGAATAATCCTGACCATATACTGGCAGCAAACAGCATGCATGCGCATAGGGAACGAGTTCAGTGAATATACAAAAATAGAAAAGGGCGTAAGGCAAGGATGGGTCTTCTCACCCGACGTGTTCAATTCTGAGAGAATTGGAAACCCTACGAGGATTTAGCATTGGCGTACACAATCATAACAACATTAGATACGCCAATGACACAATATTGATAGCAGACACGGACAAGAAAATACAAAATATCCTACAGAAGGTAGCGTCGGAGAGTGAGAAGAAATGACTAAACATAAACTACAAGAAGACAAAATACACGCTCATCACTAAGAGGATGAGGCCGAAATGCGATTTGAAGGTCGTGAACACTAGAATCAACCAGATGCGGAAGCGTCTTGACAGAGGACGGTAAGTGCGACACTGAGATCCGTAGACGTATTGGGATGGCCAAGGAAACATTCCAAAACCTGGACAGAGTATTGCGAAATTCTTCGGTAAGAATGAAAAGAATACTGAGCTGTTACGTGACATCTGTCCTTCTTTACGACAACGAATGCTGGACGATTTCCTCAAAGACGAAGAAGAGACTCCAGTCGACAGAGATGTTGTTCTACAGAAGGATTCTAACTATGAGGTCTTAGATAGGTTGCAAAAATGGAGGAGGCTTACACTTAATATCAGAAAGAGGCAGCTGAAGTTTCTGGGACATAATAAGGAAGAAGGGCCTGGTGAATCTGATACTCATGGGTCGAATAGAGGGAAAGAGAGACAAGGGAAAACAACGCGTGACATACCTGGCGGGCTTAAGGAAGTGGATGACAGAGAGTGATCTGGGAGAGGAAGCAGAGGGAAGGAACTTGCTGAGAGCTGCAAGGCATCGAGGGAGGTGGAGAGCCATGATCGCCTACGTCCTGAAAGGACATGGCAGATAAAAAGAAAGAAAATTCCGTCCTGCAAATTACCGAATTGAGTAAGTGCTCGCTGATAGCGGACTTATGAGGAAAATATTTTCGTGTGAGGCCTTTCGTTCTTTAGACCTTCATCGGCATAAGTTTATGTTTACGTTGATTCGACTGCGCATGCGCACGAACAAGAGACGCTGGAAATTTTAAATTAATTTGTTTTTATTGTCTGTTTCGTGTATATAATAATAATGATTTCATTTAGTATCTTTTCCTTTTTCTTTGTATTTCCTTCACTTTGGCTAATGTTTTTTTGCGATAAGTATCACGTGATGGGAACATACACAAAAAAGAAAATAATCTAAACAGACTAGAAAAATATAAATTTAAAATCACCAGCATCTCTCGTTCATGAACATGTGATGTTGCATCAACGTAAAAAACGTAAAAAAATCCGATAAAGCACAATACACGTCAAACGGAAACATATATATATATATATATATATATATATATATATATGGTGAGCGTATTTAGCATTATGTTAATTCAATATGTTTGATAACAGATAAATTATGCGTATTATATTTTTATATAAGATTTTTTGTCGTCAATTCGATCATTGAATGACGTTTTTAATGGCATTTACCAGATTATATATATATATATATATATATATATAGTGTGTGACGAAAATACCTTCTATATAACGGTAGGACATTACTGCCAACAGTGACTTCATCGAGCTAAAGTCTTAACATTATGTGACTGGTGTTTCTGTCACATCCTCTGCACACACGCACACACACACACACACACATATATATATATATAAATTTGAATTTGTATACATATATATATATATATTATATATATATATATATATATATATATATATATATATATATATATATATATATATATATATATATATATGGGGGAAACATATATTAGTACACATAAAAAAACTTTTGATTTATTGTATTCCCAAATAATGAATAAATATGCTTTTCATATGATTTCCTTTCCACGGATGCATAATAACTGAATATGCATAGAAAATAGAAATAAATTGATTTAATAGAAATAAATTCCATTCATACATTTTAATGCGTGAAAATTATTCGTACAATACAAAAAAATATACATAATTTTCATTTAATACTTTGTAGAGTATCCATTATTCACTTCTATAGCAACGAACCTCTTCTTGCAGTTTTTGATGATTTGCGAATTTTAGTTGTTATTTTGTTCTATTTTTCTTTGCATATTGTCTTCAGATCAGGGTTATTTGTTGGAGCCCTCGATTGTATTTGAATTTTCAAATAACTCCACAGATTATAGATTGGGTTTAAATCTGTGGCTAACTTGGCCATTGCAGTATATTTACATTATTTTTAGCAAGCCATTTCTTCGTAGATTTTCCGGTGTGCTTAGGATCATTATCTTGTTAGAAGATCCAATCAGGAAGAAGTTCAAGATTTTCAACCGAAATCATTAAATTTGCGTCCAACATATTTTGATATGCTGCGGCATATATTCTTACTACTATTACGGATATGCTGCCAGTACCTTTTGCAGAAAAACATACCCAAACCATGATGCGGACTCCATCGTTTCACGGTTGGACCTGTGTCTTTTATTAAAAGAATCACCATCTTTCCTCCATACATGACTTCTAGAATTACGTCCACACAACACAATTTTATTTCTTTGTCCATAATCTTCTTTCATTATACGATTTTCTTTATCTTTATGTCCATGAACAAATTTCAACCTGACCTCCCCGTGTCTTTTCAATACCAGTGGAAATTTCCGAGAGGGGCGCGACTTTAGATTGTTCCTATGAATTTCATTGCTTATTGTCTGTTTAGTGACACACATTCCTGATGAAAGCAAATCCTCCTACAACTTTTGTCGAGTAACCAGTGGATATTGTTTAATTTGACGCATCAATTTCCTCGAAGAATTTGCAGGAATCTTCCGTGGAGCATCTGGTCTTCTTTGGTTTTCAACAGATTTGAGATTTATACCTTGAAATGAATGAACTAATGACAGTAAATGGAATATTCAGGTTGCCTGAGATCTTCCTGTAACTTTTACCTTCTTTTCAGAGATTAACAATCAATTCTTTGTGCACATTTGTCAATTCTTTACCTCTTGCCACGATGAAAGCCTTCTTGCATGAATATCAATTATAAAATTACTAATATATATATATATATATATATATATATATATATATATATATATATATATATATATATATAAGTGAACATAGAAGTCAACACTTAGAGGCGACAGTCTCTTTCATGCTATATGCAATCGTCACTCCACGTGTGCTGTTATTTTTCTCGGTTACTTAAATATATACAGGTCAGTGGTGCATTGTGGGTAGTCTGTTATGGCGGTTATTTTACCGGAAGTCGTTTATTTATTTATTTGGGTTAAATTATTTTGCATGTTTTTATTTATTATTATTTTATTTATTATATATATATATATATATATATATATATATATGTGTGTGTGTGTGTGTGTGTGTGTGTGTGTGTTGTGTATATTTAGGCAGCAATTTTTCATTAATGCATGTTTCATTAACAACATGCCTGTCCGCGTACCCAATTCCGAAAAATCTTTGTTGAAAACACCACTATACTTAAACATGAAAACAATAAACAAAAATTAAAAATTCTTGAAGCTTTATACATAAAACTGTTGAAACTTAACCTGAACAAAATAAATTAAGAAATCTCCACAAATATCCGTAAATGCTTATAATTTATAACAGAAACCATTGGTTTATACCAATTGCTTCCCATACGTAATACTTCTCGTTTTTCACTCTCGCGTGGTCATGTGTAACGTCAAGAGCAGCGACGAGATTTTCGCTTCCGCGTCTCGTATATAAGAGTTTATCGTTACTTTTAAAATTTTCAAGAAGCAGCGGCGGACTATCATTGTTGTTTCGTTCGTGTGTTGTTTGAGTTATTGAAATTGTCATCTTTGATAATGGTTTATGTAAGCCGAAAGCTTAGATTGGATTTAAACATGTATCAATATGGTGTTTTATTTTCGTCTTTCAACGATAATGTGATTAAGCTTATCAGACAATATGAAAGGAACTTACTTAAAATAAATAGACAAAACTTATCTATATTATTTCATGAAACATGCATTTATATATATATATATATATGTGTGTGTGTGTGTGTGTGTGTGTGTGTGTGTTTGTAAGCGTCAGCATCGGAATGATAGTGGGCTCCTTGATGTGGTCTAATAGTTCGTACTCTTCTAAGAAGTGACTTAAATCCTCATTGGGTTTTTCCTCCTGCGGTTTCGTATCACTACTAAAGTGAAGATTGTTTAATAGGCTAGGGGTTTGGTAGGAAAACACCGCAGTTACATTACCGATGGATTCCGTTGCATTCACTTTCACACAAATACCCCTGGAAAAGTTATGAATCCCTCTATTTCGACCTCCATTATATGGGTTAAATAGCAAGGCAATTTGAACACTCTAATCGTGTTATCAACTAGTCTAGGATGGATTCAAACCAGAGGATGGCTGTCTGAATACTTTGTGGCAAACAGTCCACCATTTTTACTGAAAAAGTGACTGGTTCTACAAAATTCTTCATCCCTATATTCAAATCATATTCATGCCTAGTGTGGTTGGTCTAAAAAAAAGATAATAGACACATAAAATATTTCATGCATTTTAACATGGGAACAAGGAAGGAAATTGAGAAAATTAATATTAAAATAGAAGATTAAAACAAGCAAAATATCAACCAAATAATATCATTGTTTGACTCATGTGAATCGATTACGTGCGAAGGAAAAACACATATTAGAATGTCCTATCTGATTTTTGATTGAGGCCACACGGTGTTAAAGCTATTTTCCCCAGAAGTGTCCCCTCGTTGAATGGGTTTTTCTTTTAACAACGAACCATATAGAATGGAGGACAGAGATTCAAGTGAAAAGAATCACCATGTTTAAATATGCCAGACACAATTTAAATGTCAATTCACTCTTTCTATCTCTCTTTCTTTTCTTTTCTTTCGTTCTTACCAATGTCTTTTCTTTTGGCCTTTCGTCTTCATTTTCTTTCTTTAGTTTCGTCTTTCGTCTAGTCTCTTTTTTCTCCTTTTTTCTGTCCCCGACATTTTCTCTCCATTTTTGTCTCTTTCTTTCTTTCCACATCTATTTCTCTCTTTTTATATTTGAGTCTTCCTGTTTATCTCCCTCTCTTCAGATTTTTATTCTTTTTCTCATTCTCTTTCTTTTTCTTCTCTGTATTTTTCTTCTTATTTGTTTGTTTCTTCCTTATATCCCTCTCTCTTTCTTTCAATATCCCTCTCTCTCTCTCTCCTTCACCCCCTCTGTCTTTCGCATTTTCACTCATTTATTCTTTTAAACCAATACATATTCCCTTCTCTCTTCCTTTCTCTCTTTCTTTCTCTCATTCCGTCTATTCCAGTTTTCTGATTCCTTCCTTCCACATCTATTTATATTTTATCTTAATAACTTTATCGTATGATTTTCATTCTCTTATTCTTTTACACATACATTTTCCTTGCATTCCACGTTATTTTTCCTATTTTATTTGTTTGACTCTTTCTTTTACTTACTCTCTCTTTCTTTCCATTTTTTTATAATAACTTCACTCCAAGCAAGGGGATAAAGCCACTATGACGCAAGAGGTTACTAAGTATTAGAAACTATGAAAAAGAAACAGTAATAAGGGGAGGTCTGATGGAGTAATAGATATCGGCTCAGATTCCAGTCGAATCCATTACATTCACTCTTGGATATATAGAAGGATAGACCTAGTTCTATAGCCTTGAATGGCAACTGGTCTACTGCAAAAAGAAATGGCAACCTAATGCTGGAAAAAGAATCTGCCTCGTCAGTCATGTATCGAAAGATATATTGTTACTTAAGCGTGTATCAAGCATAGCACATAGCTGACTGACAGAATAAGGAGCTAGAACAACAAAAGAACAAGAATAAAGAAGACAATCGATAACGGTTGATATTAATTTTTGAAGATCGATGTTAACTGGGAAGTAAGAAGCCGGAAGGGAGATCCATAAAGTAGAAGTGCGAGAGAAGAAACTGATAGCATAAAACTTACGGCTACATCTAGAATGTAAAATAGTTGACCTTGCCGTCAATCTAATGCGACAGTTAAATTCATAAAGTTTCGGTAGCATAAAGGAAAGTTCATCAGAACAATTGCCACGAGAAGGCACCGCTACTTTGCGGCGGTCAGAAAATAACTGAGGACGATGATGCCAGGTCATGATCAATAACATTGAAGAATTTTCTTTGGATTTTATCATGAATCTCTAAATGGATAACAGAAGCACGAGAACATATGTAGTAGCAGTATTCAAAACAATGACGAATTGTAAACTGTAAACTTATAAATATGTAAGTTAGATTCCGCGGAGAAAAATTGTCTATCACGACAAGTTTCTCAGCAGCAGTTTCATATATATATATATATATATATATATATATGGGGAAATTGTATGACAAAGGACTTCATCGAACTAAATTTATTTTGATGGAACGATTAAATGTGCACGAACGACGTGGGGTGGATATACTAGATTTTTTTTAAAGATCTAGCCGAATTCATTTCGAGTCTTTTTCTTTCTATCTCTTTTGTAAGTAAGTACTCTACACTGTGATATATGAAGATCTGACATTAATGTTGAAGTGCTATCAGAGTTCGGGTGAAAATTTACTGTAGATGATATTGTGATTAAGACATTCTCTTGACATTAACGTTGTCGTGAATTATTTTCTGCATTGTTTAGAGTAGAATATTTATATAAAAAATTGTGGCCAGTCTCATTACGGTCGGCAGGCAAGGCATTTGACGTATCCTTTTGTAAAATGTCCCTTTTTCGTTCATATAATATTTTATTTAGATTCCTTAAGGTTTCTCCTATGTATTATTTGTGACGATTATTACAAGCGATTGATTAAAAGACGTAAGCTAAAATAGAACTGAGTTTCCGGTGCCTTCCAAAGTCTACTTCAACTCCAAACTCTGAAATTTTATTTACTATTTATTTCTTTCCTTATTAGGAGTATATATTCCCGCCTATCGTCCAGATCACACATCTCCCTGTCTTTTGAACAGGAGTAGAGGTTTATTCCTGTTTAGGATTGAACTTCCGGTTTCTTTTAAAGTATACTTAAAAATCTATACTCCTAATGTCCCTGCCTAAACTGAGTATTTATTGACTTCTTTTTCCTTAATAGGAGTAAATCGGTTCGCATTTCGTCCAGTTCACACTCTTCCTCACGTATTTGAAGAGGAGTAGAATTTTATCCCTTGTTTTCTGTTCCTTCTAAAGTCTTTTTTTTTCATTCTCTTTCAGTATCAGGATCCCCTTGCATCTGAGCAGCATTATCGCCATCTTTGGGTCAATTGTTTAAAAATAAAGAAAAAAATGCATTGTCTAAGATGATAGATGTGCATTATTATGTACACTCTTAGCCTATAAAATCATCTTACAAGTGGTAGATTCGTTGTATTCCGACGTTGCACTGAACTATATACATTATCTTAAATTGAACTTTGCAACATGCTGTAGCTGAAAAGAAACTAATTTTCTTGCTATTTTTTTAAATTTAAATGTATTTAAATGTATGTGAGAGCAGATGTTTGTGGCCTCACGTGGGTTTGGATAATTTAGATATTATGATTTTAAATATTAATTTTAAATGACAAGTTTCTAAATTTACAAATGGTTCTTTTAATTATCTGTTGTTTCAATTTAATATGGAAACTTTCTAAATTTTGCAATCTTAATAGTTTGTTTTGCCAAGTAATGTATATCGTCAATAGAGAGCTGTCTTCTAAAATATTGTTCATCCACTACCAGGAATACAATGTTACTTATTCATCCAACTACAATCGAAATTGATAGACTTATTTTGTAACTACACCCGGCATGAAGGTCTCTGATCGGGAGACTGGAAGTTTTGAGGAGCGTGGAACCACCTCTTAATTGCTGTTGTTCCTAGGCCCAGTTTGGCCCGGGGTGGTAGTACCTTTTAGGGTCCCAGCTATCGGCAAATAGTGAACACCAGCAACGAAAAATCAAATTCTAGGCAAGTATAAAAATAAGGTTTTATAATAAAAATACAAGCAATACAGTTTTATTAAAAAAACAAAATAAATTCTAAGCAGTTTCATGTCTGTCAGCAAACAGCGTAGAGTAAATCCAACACCCGTATTTTCTGTTCGCTACCACAGTAGCATTTCTCTGACGTCTCATTAAATACTTTTATAGATTGAATGACAGCTCAAATTTACATAGGTGCAAGAAGGTATCCGGTAAATGGCTCGAAATCAATTGCTTGACAGTTAATTGCACGAAAAATATTTTCTCGAACTATCAATTGCTCGAAATGCAGTTTGTTCGAAACCCGTGTTTAAAAAAAAAGAAAAGAAATAAAACTAAATTGTTTCTAATATTTACTATAAGATAAAATAATACAACTTTATTGTTGTTAACTGAACAGTTAAAATTGAACAACGAGTACATTTATATAGCAGGTCTTTTTTTTCTCAAAAGGCAGTTTGCTTGAAACCTGTGGTTAAAAAAAAAAACTACATTGTTGCTAATATTTACTATAAGATAAAATAATACAACTTTATTGTTACTAAAGTTGAGTGTTGTGGCTCCTTTTATATCCAGCTCCGTTGACGTGTCGTGAGACGGCGCAGTTTACATGGTGCTTCGTGCTTCGAAATTACTTCAAGCAATCTGCTTTTCGAGCAATTGATAGTTCGAGAAATTATTTTTAGAGCAATTCATAGTTCGAGAATTTATTTTTCGAGCAACCGATTTCGAGCAATTTTCCTAGATCTGTGCAAGAAAGAGACTCGCGAAAGTATCCGACTCCGAGTTCTATCTTTTCTTAAATATTCAAGTCGTAAAGCCGCCATTTTCTTTTTGAGATACTTTACACGCGAGACACATCCGAATCTCGTGTTACATGAATTATTACTAAAAATATCCAGCAATGCATTTAAAGAAATATCAACGATACATGTTATCAACTACAAAGTATATATTTAATGTTGTCATATGTTGACTCTGTAATTAGAAAATTATATAGAAATTGTCTGTAGCCGAAGCCGTAGAAATGCGTGCACCAACCAATTTGTTTCATCAATGGACGAACGAAGAAACGCCTTCTTCGTAATACGTAGAGGCAAGCCAATATACCTAGCTTATTCCTGGTTTAATAAGAATGTTGTTGATGTGGGGTGGCTTTCTGGACAAATTCCATTTGAGATGACGTAAACAGGTGATAATCAGACAGAGCCAAGTTAGACAAAGGTTGATTATATGACTTGGAAGCATCAGCCGTCAATTAAAAATTTAGAGCTCGGATGTCAGCGTAGAAGTTGTTGACAAATATCTTCTTGAATGCCAAATTGTGTTGCAATTTTATGCTGTATAGTCAGAAAATTAACGGAATTCAATACTATTTAATGTTCGATACCGTTCACTTTACACACCTGGATCAAAAGCATCCGTCGAAAGGTCATTTGCAAAAAGGTGTCATTCTGCCGTGTGCAAGTTTTACTACCTCCATAAATTAATCCTGAGGATGTTGTTGCTGGTGTGTAATGATGACATTTATCTCTTGACACCACGTTACTATGGTTGAAATTTCGAAATATATCTGTAAGTTTTGTCTACTTGATTATTTTTCTTTTTAATATCATTTATCCGCAGTAACGTTTTCTCAGTTTCCTACACACGTACTGACGAGTTGTGTCTTAGTGGCTTCATCACCTTATTTTTTAAAAATAAAAATGAAAATGGAATAACTGAATCAATTCTGATGGTAACTACATGAAAAATTACATATTATATATATATATATATATATATATATATATATATAGAGAGAGAGAGAGAGAGAGAGAGAGAGAGAGGGTAGTAGAGAAAGAGTGAGAAAGAGACGAAAACTTCTGTTTATAAGGAGTGGAAGATCACAGTTTTGCCTCGCTAGTGTTTCACATGTTGTTTTCCAGAGAAGTTGTCTTTTTACGGGGAGAAGTTGCAAGCCAAACACACAATCTGTTTCATTCCCATAGACTGGTCGTTAGCCTAGGCTAGAAAGCTTAATATTGTGACTTATTGATTCGATAGTTGGAAGGAGGACAAGGTGGAGTCATATCTTTCCCAATTCTAAATTTGACGCAAAGAACTCAACCGGACATTGAACTCGGCATGACGATGATTATTACGATATGCACGCACCAAACACATATTTCTGAACATGTGAGTGAAACATTTAACACGTGTAGCCTGTTTTATTAATATGTTGAGAAATAAATTAATTTAATAAATCTTTGTTAATATATTATTTATCAGTCGTCCTTCACACTTCAAAGAATACTGCTTTTCAATAAGAAAGATTTAAATGAGGCGCACATCTTAATACAAATAACACATTTGGTTAGAGTAGCCTGTAATATTTCCAAGAAAATAATTACACTTCATGATTACATTTTAAAAAAATCATTTAACCCCAAGCAAGACGATAATGTCACTAAGACGCGGCACCTAAAGTCGACGACGTAAATCTCGACTAATTCAAGTCGGGGGATCTCACCGATGGGCGGTGGGAGGAAAGTTTGAGGTTACCGCCGACAACTCCCTTCGTGACATTTTTTTTTTCTCCTGCCAGTCATCTCCCGGCGACGGGAAAATCGGGTACTGGTTCGGGAGGGACGGAGAAAAAGAGGGACGAAGACGGCAAGCGCAGTCCGGATCGGACGCGGCTGGACGACGTGACTCCCCGCTGGATTGTTTTCACCACGATACATCTCCCAAGCGCTCATTCGATTTCGGTGTTCGTCTGAGAAGGACCCTATGACACGCGAACAGCCAGGATTCCTCGGTCCGTGTTTCAAACCAGGTTGGGTGGGTTTCCAATGTATGCCGCGGTGCCGAGGTGACTGGCAGCGGCTTCGAAATACGTGAGTAGGAAGGACAATAAGAGAACAGAATTCAGCAAGATAGAAGATGGTCATTCTTGGTGTAGCGCTTCCACGACCCTAACAGATAGGGTAGCCGTTTCTGGGTTCCACCGACATTGGTCTTAGGATCATTGTAAGGCGCAAGCCCCACAACTGTCTCATGGTTTTCTTGTATGTAATTCTGAGTACATTTTTTGACATTAAGATAAATGGACAACTGAAAAAATATGATTAATCGATTCATTAATAATGGAATAGACTACTTCTCGTTCAGTCGACAATTAAATAATCTGTAATGGCGAAAGCTATGGTTAGATCAACCTTCCTAAATTAATTTAATGTTTAGACAAAAGTAAAAATGCTCCCCAAAAATATATATATATATATATATATATATATATATATATATATATATATATATATATGTGTGTGTGTGTGTGTGTGTGTGTGTGTGGATATTTCAACGAAAACATGTAAAAATCGCTACAAATTGCAGTAGTGTTTCAATGCATATCAAACATCTACTCAGGCTCTTGTAAATTACTGGCGCCTGAACAATTTCTTCTGATTTAAAAAAAAAATACAACCTCACTAGTAATTTACTATCGCCAGATGAGATGCATTGATATGCATTGAAACATGACTGCAATTGTGTAGCGATTTTTGCATGTTTTCGGTATAATATCTTAAAATGAACAATATTATTTAGTCTTTAATGAGCCCTTTTTTAAATTAAATGTAAACGAAAGTTGGAATTGTACCCATTCCCATCGTACCTGGATATATATATATATATATATATATATATATATATATATATATATAGATAGATAGATAGATAGATAGATAGATAGATACACCTAGTGAGCCAGACAAACCTACCTAGGTTTCACCTAAACGGATCGTCAGGGAAAGTTTGGCAAAGGACTGTGCGATTTTTTTTGTCGGTAGAAGTTCATGTTTGTAGCTCTTTCTTTTTTTAAAACCTTTTTTTTCCCTCGAGATTGATTTGATTAGCAAATCAAAAATTCGAGGGTTTTTTCAAAACGAGTCTAGTTATCTATATTTTTATATATATATATATATATATATATATATATATATATATATATATATATATATATATATGCACATTTCATTAAAAACACAATTTCATACAATTTCTCATGCAATCTATTTGTTTTTTTTTCGGATGATAAATTATAGTTATCAGTTATCTCCTGTTAATTCCCATCTGAAAGTTCTCCACTGCCTCAACTGATAACTGACATCCATTAAACATGGCACGTGGGACTAAAACAGTCTACTCCAGCGAGCGAAATAAAGGGTTAAGTTCGAAATTCCAACCACCTGACGAAGGCCGGAGCGTACAACGACCGAAACGTTGTAATAAACTAATTGACCGAATAGTAAGTGTTAACGTCATTTGAATTTAATAACATCTTTCTATTAAAGAAATATCAGAAAAATAGGTTCATCGTGTCCACCAGGTTTTATCCCGCCTTGCTTTTATGATGGAAGTTTCCTTCCTACCATTTTGTTTTTGCCATTGTGGAGCGTCAATATATTTCTTATGTTATTCTTTTAGATTGGCATTTGATATTTACATTATTTATACAATACCCGCCAAATGAAATGGTTTTAGTTATCGGGTACATTTCTTTTTAGTTCAGTTACGCAAGCCGACGAATTTTAAAGAGTGTGGTCCTAGCTAAAACCTACTCGCTTCATTCGCTTGAAGCCATTTTTATTATTAATCTGAGAATGCAGTTACATACAGCTGACAGTTTAGTAATTTATGAACTAGTTTGGTGACAAGAATATTATCTATTTAATCCTTGATCCTATTTAACCAAAACATTTCCAGTTTGAAAACATCGACTTATGTCTTCTTATACACGATCTATAATTTACGGAATGATTTTAATATGCTTAAAAATATATATATAAACATGGAAATAACGTATGAAATATTCGAAGATGGAAGAACATCAATAAGTGTCGACCTGAAATGAATTCCATTATATTATTTACAATAATTACTGACTTGTCTGACATAAACTACTTAATTGTCGCTGAAAATTATCAAGCGTGCGATTAGTGATAGTCGGAACCTACAAAAATTAATGATGAGTTTTGAATAGTTGAAGTATTGCTTATATTTTCTTTACAAAATAATTGTCTCTCTCAAAATAGTAATATTTATTTCAATATAGGCTTTTCTTTTTCACCGCACTTTCTCTTTGAAATAACATTACAGTAGGTGGTGTTATATAAGTGCGTTTGTTTGAAGATGGCAGTTGGTAGCGACGTAAAAACATGGCGTACGTACTTGTCGGGGTTTGCGCATGCGTACTTCTATAAGCTTCAAAATCTACTATTATTTTTTTTTTGTTTTTGCTTTCAACTCAAAATCTTTACGATATATTTTAAATTACTTTTTTTGTGATATTTTTTCTCTTTATTTTACGCCCACAATATATATTTTTTTCTTTTTTCATAGAACCTTGCATTGAATTAAAGAATATTCAGTTAAAACTTGAAGCATTTCATATAATTTTATTCAGTTTTTTTTTATTATTCTTATTGAATGTCATGTTTCGACATGAGTAAATTTTGTTTTATCTTGGAAAACAAAGTATTCATCTGGGAAGTTTAGAAAGTTTTGCATTTTGTAATGTCGGAAAATTAGTTTGAAACCAAATATAAACTAATACACGAATATTATGGATTATAACCATACATACATACATCTAACTATCTATATATCTATCTGTCTATTAACAAGTTATCTGCACTCTCATATAAATATATGTTATGGACAAATTTTGTATAAGTTATTGACTCTTTTATATATCTCTTTCTGTTCGTTCACACCTATCTATCTATCTATCTATCTATCTATCAGTTATCATCACTCTTATATAAATATATGTTATGGCGAAATTTAGTATAATTTATTAATGACACTTTTATTTATCTATTTCTGTCGGTTCATAACTAACTATCTAACTATCTATCTCAGTTTGTTCATTATCTATCTATCTATCTATCTATCTATCTATCTATCTATCTATCTATCTATCTATCTATCTAGAGTCTGTTCATATCTATCTATCTATCTATCTATCTATCTATCTATCTATCTATCTATCTATCTATAGTCTGTTCATATCTATCTATCTATCTATCTATCTATCTATCTATCTATCTATCTATCTATCTGTTAGTTCATTATCTATCTATCTATCTATCTATCTATCTATCTATCTATCTATCTATCTATCTATCAACAGTTTATCCGCACTCTTATATAAATATATGTTATGGCGAAATTTTGTATAACTTATTGACGCTTTTATCCATCTATTTCTGTCCGTTCACATCTATCTATCTATCTATCTATCTATCTATCTATCTATCTATCTATCTATTTATCTATCTATCTATACAGTTCGTCATCGAGAATATACCGTTTATAAACATGAAGAGAGTGTGCATTGAAATCAAGTTGTATTTACAGACCACCTGGTATTTCTCTTGGTTTATAATCAATATTTAGGCCACTGGGGTTTTACATGAATTCGTGAAAATTTATTTTTTTATTTTTCTTGATGGAACTGATATTGTGGTTATATTTATTCCTGAGTTCGTTTTTGTCATGGATTTATATATAAATATTTATTCATTATAATAGTAGTCGTTCTAATTTATACTATATTAGTATTACATTTTATTAGTATTTGTAGATTATTTATTAATTATTAGTCTGTGTCATAAATAAATAGCGATATTTAATCAGTTTTATTCTTCCGAAAAGAGCGAGCAAACAAGTCTTATTCAATTATATATTCACCATTATTTCAATGACGTGTTACCTAAAATTTACAACAGAATACAATTTATTAAAGCATTGATAGAAGAGAATCTGTTTTGAACTTTTTAATATTGTCTCCCCTATCAATCACAGTGTTAGGCAATTGCATGTCTTCAAAACGATTGCCCTTGACATTTATCTCCAGCTTGGGGAAGAGAAAATGTCACAGCAGCAAGGTCTGGACTTTAGGGAGGGTACCGTTGTCAACGCAAAAACGCTCACTCCCATTGTACGATATCTTATATATATATATATATATATATATATATATATATATATATATATATATATATATATATCAATATGTGTGGTGCAGTTCAATTTACATTACATGAATCATTCATACAAAAAGCAAATATAGAAGTTAATGATTTAAATGGCGAGAATACATCCTCGCAAACAAATTTAATAAAGTACATTAACCCCGAACCTGTATATGAATGTTATGATCCCTGTTTATAAATTCCAGTTGCATAAGGTCTTTTTTTAGTTTTTTACAAGCTTTCGTCTGTTCCTATAGACATCTTCAGGAATGGAAATAGATTTGTTTTAGTTTTTTTTACTTTTCGGTAATAACAGAACAATGAAAATATAGATGTAATCCGAAAAAAATATTTTTAGAAATGTGTTATTGTAAGACAATATATATATATATATATATATATAAATATATATATATATATATATAAAGTGAACATTGAAGTCAAAACTTAAAAGCGACAGGCTGTTTCATGCTAGACACAATCGTCAGGTTGCCTGGTGATTGCTCTAGCATGGAACAGCCTGTCGCCTCTAAGTGTCGACTTCAATGTTCACTTTTATATTTACACACGCTCTATCTCTGATATGGAGCACTTTATCCCATAAATACAACACACCTTAAGAGTATATTTCTTCATATATATATATATATATATATATATATATATGTGTGTGTGTGTGTGTGTGTGTGTGTGTGTGTGTGTGTGTGTGTGTGTGTGTATTAGAAAGTAGAAAATATTTTCGTGTGACACGTTTCGTCACTTAGGAATTCCCTGTAGTCGGTTTGCTTACGTTGATGTGACAGCATATGCACGAACAAGAGACAATGGGAATTTTAGAAATTTTAATATATTTTGGGTTATATCATCAAGCCAATTTAGATTCTTCGTATTTTCTTTCTATCATCTTTCTTATTAAATATCTCACATTGTGATAACAGAAGATCTATCAGGAATGGTAAAACGTTGTATGAATCTGGACTCAAATTTACTTTTGATGAGCTAGCGATCAAATTACTTTCTAAAAATTTTTCATCTTAGTGAATTATTTACTATTTTAATTAAAGTAGCATTTTTTTATGCTGAAATTTTAGTCAGACTCGTTACATTGAGCAACTAATGAGTTTAATGTGTTGTTTTTTAATGATTCTTTTGTATTCATATAGTCTTTTATTTAAACTTCTTGAGGTTTCTCTAACGTATTCTTTCTGACAATTATTGCATTTGATAGGATAAATTCCTCCATTAAGTTATGGCTTGTTGTTTTGTTTTGTATTAAGTCTTTTATTGTTTTGTGACAAACATTATATCGAGATTAGATACATTCTTTTCGATTGTAGTTGCGATAAGTTAGTGGTTAGAACAATATATTTTTAAACGTAAACAAACCTTGTCCGATGAAGTCCTAAGAGACGAAACACATCACACGAAAACTTTTTTTTCCACTTTGTCATATATCTTTCGTCCAAAATTGTTCTTCACACACACAAACATACATACACACACAAATTAATATATATATATATATATATATATATATATATATTGTATATTTAGGCAGCAATCATTCTTTCATGCAAGTTTCATTGAATATGACAATCAAGGTGCTTTGATTAAGGTTTTTATAATTTTTCCTTCCAGTAGGCATCCATGAGTATACATGAGAGACGTAATTGATCTATGGTCAGAAAGATGTAGTGTGAGTCTTCTTGTCAAACATGTTTTAGTGTGTCCTATATATATATATATATATATATATATATAATAAAAAATCTTAAACACTAAAAAACAGAAAAAACAACTCCGGGAATTTTTTTCTGTTTTCTTTTTGAATTTGTAGCTCTGATGAATTGGATCGTATTTACGATTCTAATGGAATAAATTATGACCATGGAATATTAGTGTTTAAGCCTTTTTATTATATCCTTACTCTGTCCTGGCCATTGAGTTCTACCTGGATTCTATCCTCTTGGCATTATTTTATCCAAATATATATGTATGTATGTATGTATGTATGTATATATATTTATATATTATGCATATGTATGTGTATATCTACCACTAATATTATCTATCTATCTATCTATCTATCTATCTATATATATATATATATATATATATATATATATATATATATATATATAAAAAAAAAAAAATGAAAACGCAACTGCTGTCTTTAAGAATATTTATTTGAGAAACTTTATTTCATAGTTCTATGATATTCAAAATCTAAACTGATCCGAAGAGACGTGTGGATATGCAATGAGAGATGAGAAACTGATCATGGCCTATCCACATATGTGATGAATATTTGACATGAGAGTAAACATAAGCTTCAGACGTTGCGTCAATAGGAAAAAGATTGCAAGTTGAAAAATAGGTATACAACTCTCTTAATCAACCGAGAACAATATGATGTCTGAATAATAATATATATAAAAAAACGTATCTAATTATGCCAGGAAATGCAGCAGATAAAGAGAGCCCAATAACACTGAGGGTGTTATATTCTACGAAACGTTATTTTTTAGATAGTCGCCCCTGTTTGCAATGCTTTCTGGCCAGTGATTAATAGATTCTGCTTCGAGCACACGTAAACACGTTTTCTCGTCGCACCATTATTATCGACAGTAAAGTGCATTACCTAACTCTTAAATCTGACCATCTCCAGTGCTTTGCTCTTCGTAAACGTTTAGAAAAGCGCCTATAAACGTCAATGGGTGAATTTTTCCGCATGAAATCAGTGATGCGTTTCTGTTAAGTACGCACTATCACATTAGATGACATGTTGCTGAGATTCGATATGTAATATGGCCAGTAATCATGTATTTTTGGAGGGAAACATTCAAGTTCTATTGCCACATCATAAAAGTCTACCACGGATTAGCATAAGAAGATGGCTGTTATAACCTTTGAATAGGCCCGCTAAAGTAAAGTCAAAGTTATTTAAATTTTCAGCATAGTCCTTGATTACACAATGTCAAGGAATATACTTTCGAAAAAATCAGAAATCAAATAGAAAGGAAATGAGGCTCCATGTTTAACAAATGTCTTTTTTTTATTTTGTGTTAAGATTTGGTTTAGTTTGTTTTCTTTTACGACATAACAACCTCAGTGAATTATTTAATGGCGACAAGATATTTAATATCTGTCTATATTTCTGAGATGAGGTATCATGTACACTATTTACATTATTCGGACTATTGCCTTCATCTTTGTCGCCATTTGTATTACACATGGCACAGTGAATAAAGGCGTTAGTTAGATACAGTGACAGGACCCAAAGAGTCTGAGTTCACTACCTGGTTAAGGCAGTGGTGAACTTGGAGAGGTGAATTAACACGAGATAACTGATAACTGATATCTATTAAACATGGCATGTGGAACTAGAACAGTCTACCCCATTGAGCGAAATAAAGAGTTCAGTTCGACATTCCAACCACATGAAGAAAGCCGGAGCGTACGACCTTCGAAAAATGTAATAAATATGGCAACAAAGATGAGGGCAATAGTCCGAATAATGTAAATAGTAAAGATCTTTAAGGCCGGTAATATTTTTTCCAAAAACATATTGCTTGTAATAATGTATTCCTGGTAATCATTTTTTCTTGAAAATTAATTGCTGCTAATAATTATTTACAAAAATCTATTGCTGGCATTAAAATATATTTTTACACTTTCATAGTGCTTTGATCCAAGTTTGGGGGTTAAAATATTTAACCATAGCTGGGACCCTGACGGGTGCTACCAACCTAGGTTAAAGTGGACCTAGGAACACCAGCAATTAATATGTGGTTCCACGCTCCTGAAAAGGTTTTGCTGTCGGATGTAGTTTATCGTCTTACCCAGGATACGGATGTCGTTTATTGTCTTACCCAGGACGTCGTGTTTTGGGATAGAATAAACTAAAGACAATCCATGCAGTAATAAAGACTTAATGTCATGGAAGCACATAAGTATTATTTTAAAAAAACGGGTCGATTCTTTACAAATAAAATATTTCTTAACTGTTATTTGCTATCAATTCTCCTATCTGCCAGTAAATGCTGAACATCTTCCTCACAAATGGAAATTTTTCAGGCCTTAGAGATTTGATTCTGTAGCAGTGTGATGAGAATAACATGGACTGATCATGCGATAAATGATGAAGTTTAAGAGAAAATGTGAAAAGGGTAACTTGTATTTAGAATCAGAAAATATATCTGAAA